TGACTGATTTGAAGGATAATCGACTTAAATTTAATTTTCTGCCATAAGATGAAGTGAAGCTGAAGAAAGAAATTGTGTGGGTGCTTTTTTAAGGTACTTTTTTTGCACTCAGGTTTGTAGATTGAAAATCTGTGCTTGCTATATTAAGACAAGTCCCACTTCAGAACCTATGGGAGCTTTGAATCCATGGGTAGAGTTCAGGAAGTGATCCCTTTAAACAAATCCCCCAGATGAAGGTTGAGCATCATTTAGAATCTTCCTGCTTGACTCACAACATCATTCTTATTTTGATGAATTGTTGCTTACTATTTATTGTATCCTGCCTGGCTCCTTTTCATCTGCCTTTTCCTTATATTGTGGTGTTACCAAGGCTTATTTTCAATTCATGAGATGGTCTTACTACTATGTCCCTGTGGGTGAATTCTTATCTGGAGTCTGTGAAGAAGAAAACTTTATCAATAAAAGAATTAGAGATACAAATTTAGAAGGAGAAACAAAATCACTTTATTAGGATGGGAAGAGAAATGGGGAAGCAAAACCATTTTATTGGGAAAAGGAGAGAAAATAAGTAGATAGGTAGCTACCTTGTTGTAGTAAGGTAGGGGAGTCTGGAGCCAGAACTCGGGGTCCTTGCTCTAAGCCTCTTTCATTACACTGTGAAAATGGGACTATCTCCTTGAGAGTGGTTATAACTTGACTGGCTATTTTGGGCTTTGAGAATCCTGATTTGGTCATTGCCCCCTTCCACTGCCTATGTGCATGTTTTTGATGAACACTTCTGTGGTCTCTTCATGCTGTCCAGGTGCTTATCTTGTGAGATTTACAGCACAGCCCCACATTCAAGGACAAGTTAGCAAAAATAGAGATACATGTACACGTTAGTGTACTAACAAGGTCAGAAAATAATAAAATATATGTACTTATACATATAGGCTAGGTCTATATGTCTAGGTGTTAGTGCATATTTTATATGCAGTTTTTATAATATAGCCCCACACACATATACACACTTTGTTTCTCTTGCACTTCATTGAAGATGGAGGAGAAGGGAATTTGTTTTGGCATGAAGTGAGCCAGGCCTTCTTATCAGCTCTCTCCATGTTTTTTCTAAGCTACCCTCTCTCTAGCCAGGGTTTAACTCTGTTTGCCAGAAATGTCACTGAAGCCCTTTAACTTTCCCTGTCTATCCCTACATTGCCTTCTCCCATAGTTTTCTATATCCCATAGATTCAATTATTTGGGAACAAATGGAGAACTACCATATTACTATGATAAGTCCCTTATCTTTAATCTACTATTCAGTTTAAAAGTCAGCTTTCAGTCTCATTATTGCTCCTTTGAAGATTATAAGGCCTTTTGTTTTTTAGTTTTAAGAATTCTCTCATTTTTCTATTTTAACACAAATTTTAAAGTTGAATTTATTTTTATCTTTCTTGGAATTCGTGATAATTTATGAATCTGTGACTAGGTTTCTTTCATGAGTTTTGGAAAACACTTAGCAATTTTCTCTTCAAACATTGCTCTGTTTCAGTCTTCTCTGCTTCTAGCTAAAAATGACATGTACAAAACGTGTTCTTTATATCCCTGAGAATATGTTTTTTATGCCCTCTGACTGTTTTTCATCCTTTTGATGCTGTTTCAGCTTCGCCTCATTTCTGTGCTATCTTTTGGTTCATTAATTCTCTTTTCAGATATATTTAACGTACTTAAATCCATCTACTGAATTATTAACAGATATTATAAATTTTAGTTTTCACATTTTTAAACTGCAAAAATTCTCAATATTTTAATACCTTGCACTCATTAGTCCTAGTTGTTTTAAAGTTCAGGTCTGAGTATGGTGGCACACACTTAGCATAGCAGGAGACAAAGGCAAGAGGATCACAAGTTCAAGGCCACACTGGTCACTTAGTGTCTTAGCAAGGCCTGGCTCAAAAAAAATTTTTTTTAATTAGTTTTAAATATTGGGAATGTAGTTCAGTGTAAAGAGCCTGGGTTCAATCCTCAAAACACACACACACACACACACACACACACACACACACACACACAATCTCTCCCCCACAAAAAAACAGTGTCTGATAACTATTACATGAGACTCCTGAGACATCTTTCTATTGTATGTTCTTTCCCTGAATCTGAAAATGTTGACTTTTCAGTCATATTTTGAAATTATCCTCTTTTAATTTTACTTATTTTCTTTTCTTGTTAAGAGTAACCACTTTCCCTTATGTCTGTTCATAATTTACTTAGGCTTGCTTTTGTCAGGCTGCTAGACTAAGGGTGATGGGAAGGCTCGATCCTTTTCATCCCATCAAGCCTTTGTATGACTGAAAGCTGGCTTCACTCTAGTTCACGTTATTCCTCATGTGCAACCTCTCACGGTCCCAACAAGAACCCAGGCATATGTATCAGGGTCCCTCTTTCTTGGGAGACCCTCAACTATTTCCTACTCCGCAGCCTCGCTTTTTGAATGCTCTACTCAGTTTTTCACCCCCACTTTCAGAACTGTCAACATCCTTGGGAGGAGGACAAGTGGCCCCAAATGTTAGGCTCACTGCCTCTCCCTCTTCCCCTAGAATGTGATCCCACCATTCCTCACTGCCTTGGTGGTGCTCTGATGCCTTCAGTCAGGTCTGTAAAACCTTTTGTCCAACACTTCTAATTTTTCTCAGTAGAAGAGTTAGTCATAAAGCTGCCCACTCTTACTGCAGGCAGAACCTTAGGGCTCTGGCCAAATCATTGCCTGCTTAAAGCCCTTCAAGGGCTCAAAAAAACCTCTGCAAATGGGGAACAATCCTTACCACTCTACTCAGGCCTTCCATGATTTGGGCTCCAGCACACTTCTTTCATCTATATCCATCTATTGTCCTGATTATTCCAACATCTATCCAAACCACTTCCCAGAGCATAGTAACCCTCCTCCCAGAATGTCCTTTCCCCTCTGTCTTACTGCATTTTCTGTATCTTAACCAAATTCCTGATGTGAAGTAATACATAAAGAAAAGAGCCAGGTGTAGTGGCACACACCTCTAATTTCAACATGCAGGAGGCTGAGACAAGTTTGAGTTTGAGGCCAGCCTGGGCTACATACTGAGATCAATACCAGTTTGAATTACATTTTGAAACTCTGGCTCAAAAACACAAGACAGATCAAGAGGAAGGAGGAAGATGAAGAGGAAAAGGAGAAGAAAAAAAAGTGAATTGTTTTAGTATTATGGGCTGGGGACTGGACAGAGATATGACAAACAAAAGCCAGTTTTGAGTGGGAAAGAAAGGAGTAAGAAAGCCAATTGTTAAGATGCAGAAGGAGAGGTTACTGAAAGGGACTGTATGTAATTGTTCTAGTTCCGGGGCAATTCTGTGTATCTTTTAAATATGCCACCCCTATTTTCTTCATGACTTCACAATACACTGCATATTAACCTTAACCCTGAAGATCCAATGTCAGGGTCTATTTCTTTCTTCTTCATAAACAGAAAATACTGAGTTGGGCAGGAACCCAAAAGTGGGTAAAGTGAAGGGATCTGGCCCAGGACCTTTTCTGGCCAGTGAACTCCCTCATGGCTCATAGGGACACGGATACACAAACACACAGCCAGATGTTGGAAGTGGGCATGCAGGCAGCCACTGTAGAGGTTGGGGGAGAGTTTTAAGCAAAAAGCTTCTTTCCAGGACTGAAAAAAGCCAGACAGTGAATCAGCTGAGCAGTTTGGTGCTCTCACTCCTTTCATGGATTTTTTGAGATAGCATCTCGTTACATTACACATCCAGGCTGGCTTTCAACTCTTGGCCTCAAGCAATCTTGGTGCACCACAGTCCAAAGCAGCAAGAAATACAGGCGTGTGCCTACACAAATGGGTCTTCAGTCGTTACCTGAAGATGGCAGCCCCATAACCCTACAAGACAGCACAACTACATGGCTTACTCTCTCTTGAAGCCAGAGGGGAAAGCAGCAGACAGAGCCCTGAGTCTAAGCCCTAGCTCTGTGAGCTGAGTTCCCCACCCTGGAGAAGGCCTCCACCCAGAGGAGGCCTGGCACATAGATGGAGCCCGACCTGTCAGGTGCTCTCAAATCCCCCCCGCAGCCCCAGGTTTTCTCTAGCTGGAAGCATGATGACAGCTTCCTGCTCTGGTGCGCTGGGATGCACTGACCCCTGCTCCAGGGTACAGATGCCCCCGGCGGTCAGGTTGGCCTGCTGGATGCCAGTGGGATCAGAGGATGTTGGGCATCAGTGCTGAGAGGCACTGGCGTTCAGCCAAGTGGCCTCTGCTTCTCAGATCAGAGCTGGAGAAACATTTGGTCTCAGTATTCTTTAAGAGCAGGGACACTGGAGTAGAGCCGGGCTACACACTGATCTCTGGCAGAAGGGATGAACTCCGAGCCTTTCTCCCATGGGGGAGACAAGTTCTGAGACTTGTGCAGGTGCCATACAGGCATCAGGGTGAACAAAGTCAACGGTAGAGTGACGACCAACTATGACACGTTTTTGGGACAGGGTGTTATGCAGTCCCACCTGACCTTGAACTGGCAATCCTCTTATCTCTGCCTCCTTCCTCAGGGCCTGGGGTTCCCTCCTGTGAGGTGGGAGGACTCTTCTAGATGACCTGTGAACATCCATAACCCATCCCCTTACCTTTCCTTGTGCACCATCCCCCAGTGCCGCACCCAAGCTGGCTCTGACAGTCCAGCAAGGCCTTGAGCTGAGGTTTCAGACTACCAGCTGGGTGTGCTTCCTCCAGAGGTCCGGGCCCTAGGCCCTGGGTCGGTGGTGGCCAACCTTTGGCACCCGTGCTGCAAGCCGGCTGTCCGTTATCACTGAAAGCTCCCAAAGGTTCACCGTCGCTGCCCTTGACCCTCACAGTTGGAGCCCTGGGAGGGAGGAAAGGCCCTGTGCCTCCCAGAAAGGACCCAGGGGCCCTGCATTGTGACCGCCTCATCCACTCTATGACATCATCCTCTCCCCCACCCACTCCCCTCTGGCCAACTACTCTGCGAGCCACCATCAGTCTGGACCCCGAAGGCCCCAGAAACTCTGTTCTCTCCGGCCCGCTGCCGATCTTCCGCCTCCGCCAGCCAGAGGCACCATGAAATTGGAATTCACCGAGAAAAACTACAACAGCTTTGTGCTCCAGAGCCTGAACAGACAGAGGAAACGAAGAGAGTACTGGGACATGGCCCTCACCGTGGACCACCACGTCTTCTTTGCACATCGCAACGTGCTGGCTGCTGTCTCTCCGCTGGTGAAGAGCCTCGTGCCCAGCAACGACGTGACGAGCACCGATGAGCTCTTCATCTCCATTGAGCCCAGCTACCTGAGCCCGGCCGCGGTGGAGCAGCTCCTGGACTACTTCTACAGCGGCAAGGTGGTGATCTCGGAGCAGAACGTGGAGGAGCTGCTGCGGGGCGCCCAGTACTTCAACACACCGCACCTCCGAGTCCACTGCAACGACTTCCTCATTAAGTCCATCCGCCGGGCCAACTGCTTGCGCTACCTCTTCCTGGCTGAGCTGTTTGAGCTCAAAGAGGTGTCGGACCTGGCCTACTCCGGCATCCGGGACAACTTCCACTACTGGGCCAGTGCCGAGGGCTCCCCGCACTTCATGCACTGCCCGCCGGTCATCTTCGGCCGCCTGCTGCGCGATGAGAACCTCCACGTGCTCAACGAGGACCAGGCGCTCAGCGCGCTCATCAGCTGGGTGCACTTCCGGAAGGAGGAGCGGGAGAAGTACTTCAAGAAGTTCTTCAACTACATCAGTCTCAACGCTGTCACCAACAAGACGCTGACGTTGGCCAGGAACAAGCTCGTGGGCATGGAGGGCAGCTCGTGCCACGTCATGCTGATCGAGAGCGTCCTGGTGGACCGCAAGCAAGAGCGGCCCTGCAGCCTGCTGGCCTACCAGCGCAAAGGGTCCCTGCTCGACTCGGTGGTCATCCTCGGGGGCCAGAAGGCCCAGGGCAAGTTCAACGACGGCATGTTTGCCTACATCATCCAGGAGAACCTGTGGTTGAAGCTCTCCGAGATGCCCTACCGGGCAGCGGCGCTCAGCGCCACCTCTGCCGGCCGCTACATCTACGTCTCCGGCGGCACCACGGAGCAGATCTCAGGGCTGAAGACGGCCTGGCGGTATGACATGGATGACAACTCCTGGACCAACTTGCCCGACCTGCCCATCGGGCTGGTCTTCCACACCATGGCGACCTGCGGGGGCAAGGTGTACTCGGTGGGCGGCAGCATCGCCCCAAGGCGCTACGTCTCTAACATCTATCGCTACGACGAGCACAAGGAGGCCTGGTGCCTGGCAGGGAAGATGAGCATCCCCATGGATGGCACGGCTGTGATCACCAAGGGTGACCGGAGCCTGTATATCGTCACTGGGCGCTGCTTGGTGAAAGGCTACATCTCCAGGGTCGGGGTAGTCGACTGCTTCGACACCAGCACCGGGGAGGTGGTCCAGTGTATCACCTTCCCCATTGAGTTCAACCACCGGCCCTTGCTCTCCTTCCAGCAGGACAACATCCTCTGCGTGCACAGCCACCGGCAGAGCGTGGAAATCAACCTGCAGAAGATAAAGGCCAACAAGACCACCACCTCGGTGCCCCTCTTGCCCAACGACTGTCCCCTGGATGTGTCCCATGCCATATGCTCCATTGGAGACGACAAGGTGTTTGTATGTGGAGGCGTCACCACGGCCAGCAATGTTCAGACCAAGGACTACACCATCAATCCAAATGCCTACCTGCTGGACCAAAAGACCGGCGAGTGGCAGACCCTGGCCTCTCCCCCGGAGGCGCTGGACTGTCCCGCCTGCTGTCTAGCCAAGCTACCCTGCAAGATTCTTCAAAGGATGTAAACAACTTTTGAAGTAGGAGGATAAGTAAATGCATTATTATTCACAGTTTCATGAGAGAAAGAGGAAGGTGACCTTCTGCTTCCTTCTTAATCTTCCGGGCTCTGCTTGGCCCCCAAGGTGCAGTTCTTGGGCCAGGGCTGCTGCACTTGGGTGGAAACTCAGGGCTAGCGGCTCCCTGGCGGTGTCCAACCGAGGCCGGGCTGGAGTCTTTGGCGGGTGGGACTGACAGGCCTCTGGGCACTGGTTCCCAGTGGGTGGAAATCAGAGCTACTCTGTCAATGGAGAGAGAGAGGTCCAAACTGATGCTGGAAGGAAGGATCCCCGATAGCGTGGTGTGGATGTGGCTCCCAGGCGCTGCCCAATGTGAGATCTGCAAAGTCCCTGGTTCTGTGGAGGTGTAGATTCAGGGGTCAGGCGTCCTGGTTCCGCACCTCATTAGTTCTGTCCCTCACTGGGTGATCCTCTAGGAGTCATTTAACATCTCCCTGCTTCAGTTTCTGTTTGTTTAAAAAAGACTTAATAAGTGGGCTGACTTCACAGTGTAAAGGTGACGTTTAAATGAATTAATTCAAGCAAAATGTTTAGGACAGTCCCTGGCTTGTTCTAAAGTGCTACAGATGAACTTTTTTCTAGGATTGAAAAAGGAGGGCCAGGGATTTAGCTCAGTGGTTCTGCTGCCTGCCTCACACACAAGCGCAAGGACCAGAGTTCGATCCCTGGTACCAAAAAAAAAAAAAAAAAAAAAAAAAAACAAAAAGCAAAGCCCATAAAATGCTCTTTGAGACTCTATCTGAAACTGTTGGTGAGCTTTCCTCACTTATAAGTATTTGTTTCCCTTTCATTTGCTTGCACACTCACATAGTAATCCTCACCTAATAATACAGAAGAAATTGACCGGCTCCGTGGAAGCTGGTCCTACATAACCCTTACTCATCCATACCCTCATGTGTTTGTGCACTTGCTTACTGTGCACTCGCTCATCAGATCACACGCACATATCATCCACTCTGATCCACTCTGCTACAGTCTGTGCTAGATCCCTGTTCTGGGTGCTGGGGCCACAGCATGACGCAGACAGTCCTTGTGCCAGAGAAGGGAGTAGCCACCCCCATGCCATGCAGCAGGAATATACATGAGCCACATGTGATTTACATTTGTCTAGCGGCCACATTAAAAGATAAAAAGCTGGGGAAGTAAACTTTGATGCATGCATAATTTCATCCGGTGTATCAAAAATATTATTATTCAGATACGTAGTCAATGTAAAACTTATATAAGCTATTCAACATCTTTTGGACTCCAGTGTACATATTTTGCATTACAGCCCAGCTTTGTGTAACCACACACACTGTATATAGCCCACTGAGACTGGTGGCTCCGCATTAGACCATGGAGCACACTTCAGACAGGGTCAGGGTTCAAATCTTCTCATTCTCCTTCTTCCTGCTCTGTCCTGCTCAACCTGCTCAGCCTCACCTTGCTGACGTGTTGATTGCGTTTCCTGTCTCTCCAATGCTACCCTCTGTCAGAGCTCACTTCCGTCTGTGCAGCTAGGACCTTGAATTTCACACTGACCGCTCCGCTCCCGAGACCTTTCCTGCATTTGGCACCTCTGCAACCTGGGCCCCCACCTCTCCTCCTGTCCCTGCAACCACCCAGATGGAACAAACAGGGTCTTACCCATCTGTGACGTAAGCCCAACTGCCCTGTCCCTGACTTAGCTGCCCACTTCTTTTTGGTTGTTTTTGACACAAGGTCTCACCATGTAGTTCAGACTCCCCTTGAACTCACTAGGTAGCCTAGTCTGACTCCGAATTCACAGCAATCCTTCTGCCTCGGTCTCCGGGGTACTGGGATTACAGGCCTGGCCTACACTTTTGAAAGCTGATTCTCCAACCCTTTCTGCTGTCTGAGGACCCACCCTACATTTCCCCTCTCCCCATTCTCAGCCACTTTCCTTTTATTCTGCCACTAGCTTTGCAGGGAAAGAGAAGCCAAATGACCCGAGCGCCATAAATAATCTCACGTCCACCAACATCTCACGAGAGCCGCTTTCTGCTTCTCCTCCTCAGCACTGAGGAAGGTGTACTGATCCCTGCACCTGGCTCTCAGTTCTGTCACCTACCACCTGTGAGGTTCCTCGGTTCTCTTCTGTGTCCGTGATCCTCCTAGTTTCTTCTCTTCTTTCATGCTGTCAAACTGCTCCTACTCTGAAACACACACCTCCTTCAGCTCTATGGCCTACCTCTTGCTGTCTGCCCGTGTTTTCCCCAGTGGAGCTTTGTAAATGTTTGTGCTCTCTTCTCCATCACTCACTTCCAAATCATTCTCTAGCTCACTGCGTCAGGCTTCTGTTCCCACCATGCCACCAAACTGTCTCAACAGCATCCTCCTCTTTGTCCTTTTCCCGGTCACATCTCTTTTCCTTGAGGAAATGGGCAGAATTGACTGCCTGCATCAGAATCACTAGGGTGCTTGTTCTAAAATGGCAGATCTCTGGTATGGTAGGGTTATAACTTGGTATACTGGCTGGCACGGTGTCCTTCCTAAGCCCATCCCACTACAGTAGACGCCCGGGGCTAAACCTCATCAGATGGGACAGCCTTAGTACCCTGAAGAACTGGCACAGTTGGATTGAAGAATCAGACACTTTTGGCTTTTGCTGCTAAGTGAGCTCTGTCAATTCACTGCATTTGAATTACAATCCTGGTTGTCAAACAATGGAAATACATACATGCACGATTTTAAGGGTATTAGCTTTGAGATTCTCAACTTCCTTCCAAATATGGACCTGAGAATACATCTGTTGGAGGTTTCATTCTAGATCTCTTTTGCTTTTCCAGATATTCCAAAGATGCACTGCTCCAGGATGCCATATAAGGGTAAACCTGGGGTCAGCAAAGACCCCTTTCATCAAGATCCCAATTACTTAAGGAAGAGTTTCCTATCATTTTCTCTACTGCCTACAGTGTTTCTGTTCAGGTTGGGAAGGCTGGTGGTAATACTGGGGTATTTTGGTCCTAACTGTGTTGTTCAGAAATAAGTAATACCATAGAATGATGATATATTTTTAAGAGCATTTGAAGAAATAATTACCACACCATACAATTCACTCATGTAAAGCCTGAAATCAGTGGCTTTTAGTATATTCATTCACTGAGCTGTGCAGTCATCCTTATAATCAATTTTAGCATACTGTCATTACCACAGAGAGAAACCATCACCTCTGAGCTTTCTCTGTGCAACTTTCTCAGTCCTATGCACCCATTGACCAACTTTGTAACTGTGGATTTTCCTGTTTTTGTATATTTCACATAAATTGGCCTATACATTTTTTTCTGGCTTCTTTCACTTAGTAAAATGCTTTTTAAGGTTCATCTATTAAAAGGATAAGCCATAATTTGTTTATCCACTTAATAGCTAGTAGATATTTAGGTTAGTTATACTTTGGGCTATAATAATAATGCTGCAAACATTAATGTACAAGTCTTATGTGGATATATGGCTTCATTTCTCTTGGATAATGTACTTAGGAGTGGAATTACTGAGTTGGATAGTCACTCTTGATTGTAATACTTGAGGAACTGCCTGACTTGTTTCCCAAAGCAACTGCACCATCTTACACTCCTACCGGCAATGGACGAGGGTTCCAATGTCTCCAGTCCTCGCTGACACTTGGTATCCATCTTTCCGAATACAGCCATCCTGGGGATGAGAAGTGGCATCTGACTGAGCTCTAGATTTGCACTTCCCTAATGGAAGTGGCTAATGATGATGAGCATCTCTCTGTGGCCTTAGTCGATGGTAGCTGTTTAGTAGCGCTGCCTCTTCCATGCTCTGGTGTTACCACAGAAAGCATTATTTCCAAAGGAAGAGTTCTGCAGAAACAAAAATAAAGACAGCATGATGTATAATAATACAAGGCTACGATGCTATATCAGAGTACAGAATGGTGGCAAATTTCCCAGATGACCTTCTCTATCTGTTGATGTCTCTTAGAATATTCCTGGTTTGTTGAGAATAGGCTGGAAAATATTCACTAGCAGTTGTGTCCTTGTCTGCAGTTTCACTCTTCTCCATGAGAAAGGGCTCCCATTCTCTCCTGTGCTGTTGCAGATTTTGCATCAGTTAAAGACTAGCATAAAAAGTTCCCCATTCACTTGCAAATGATCAGTGTTACATCTTTGGTTTTTCTATTTTATTGGTACAATTTAGATTTACATAATGATCATATTCATCATAGGGAATTTGTATCTGTACATGATGTATCTTGCTTCCTTTTTTTCCCATTCCCCTCTCCTCCTATCAACCCCTCTTTTCCTTATTTACAAAAGCTCCACTTCCATTTTTCCTTTTCTCATTTTTCCTTTCTTTCATTTCCCGCTCCCCCCCTCTAGTTCTCCTTTCCTTTGAATAATTTTTCATTTCATATTGTCTGTTATACATCTAGGTCCGTATTTACATTTTCAGTTTCTTACACCTGAGAGACGGTGTGATATTCAAATGTGCCTGACTTATTTCACTTAAGAGTATAGCTTCAAGATGCATCCACCTAGCTATAAATGTCTCATTTATCCTTCTTTATGGCTAATACTCCACTGTACAGAAAAACCTCTTTATGCATTCATTGGCTGATGGGCATTTAGGTTGATTACAAGTTTTAGCTATTACAAACTGTGTTGCTGTAAATATGGGTGTACATATATCACTGTGGTATGATGCTTTTAATTCTTTTGAAAAGATACTCAGAAGGGTAATAGCTGGATTAAATTGGACCTCTAATCCAAGTTTTCTGAGGAATCTCCACACTGACATCCACACTAGTCGCATCACTTCTCACTCACACCAACAGTGGAGAAGGGTTCCTTTTTCCCGACAGCCCTACCAGCTTGTTACTGATTTGATAGCAGTCATTGTTTTCTGGAGTGAGATGGAATCTCAGTGTTGTTTTAATTTGCATTGCTCAAATGACCAGTGTATTTTTTCATATGTTTATTTGCCATTTGTACTTCTTTATCTGAGAGGTGTCTATTCAATTCAGATGCCCACTTTTGGATTGGATCTTTAAATGGGGGGGTCTGATTTTTTTCAATACTATGTTCTAGATATTAGTTCCTTTGTCTGAGACTACTAGCCAGAAATTTTTTCCACTCTGTGGGTTCTCTCTTCACTCTGTTGATTTCTTTTGCAGTGCAAAAGCCTTTTAATAGGATGAGATCCCAGTTGTTGATGTGTTACTTTCCATCCAGTCTAGGTTTTGTTCATGAAGTCTTTGCCTACCCGTATATTCTCAAGGGTTCTCCCTCTTCTCTTTTCTAGCAGATTTAGTGTTTACATTTTAATATTTATAACTTTTATCTATTTTGATTTTAGTTCAGTGCATGGCGAGAAACATGAGTAGTTTTAGCCTTTGGCATGTAGAAAGCCCGTTTCTCCAGTGCTTTTTATTAAAGAGGTTATCTTTCCAGTGAACGCGTTTGGCTCCTTCATCAAAGAGAAGCTGGCAGCATGTGTTTAGGGTTGCTTCCATACCTTCAAGTCTGTTCTATTCATCTCAGGTCTTTTGGGGGGTGTCATGCTGTTTTTATCACAGTAGCTCTGTAGTATAATTTCAAGTCAGGGATTGTGATGCCCCCTTCCTTGCCTTCATTGCCCAGAATTGCCTTTGCTATTCTAGATCTCTTCTGGTTCCAAATGAATCTTAGGTTTTCTCTAATTCTGTGAGATATGCTGTTGGAATTTTGATCAGGATTGCATTAAATCTGTATAATACTTTTGGAGGTATGGCCATTTTCAGTATATTGGTTCTTCCTATGCAAGAATAAGAGATATCTTTCCATTTTCTGACATCCTCTCCAATATCCTTTATCAGAGTAGTTTTGCATTTTTGAAAAGGAGGAAAAATATTTCATGGAAGAATATTATTCATACCCATAAGAAATATTTAAGCCTTTTTATTATAAATATAATGCACACAGAAAAATCCAAGACACATAATCGTACAAATATCCTATTTTCAGTTCAAGAAATAGGGAATTGTCATTAGTCCTAAGCCTCCTGTGTGGTCCTCTTCCTGATTTGAACCCTTTTTTTCCCATCTGAACTTTATGATATATTTCTTTCTTACTATGTAGTTTTACCATCAAGGTAGGCATTCTAACAATACAGTTTAGTTTGGCCTTTTTTTTTTCTGGTATTGGGGATCGAACTCAGGATCTTGCACTTACAAGACAGGTATGGTGCCACTGAGCCAAATCCCTGGCCCTAGTCTGGCCTGCTTTGAACTTGACATGGAGAACCGTTTGGCAGAAATTACTTTGTGTCTGACTTTCATCAAATTTAGATTTTAGTGATTTATCCATGTTGCTGCATGTAGATATTGTTCATTTCATTTCTTTATACTATTCTATTCATATAAATATATCATTTTATTTATTCATTCTCCTGATGGACATTTTTGTTATAATCAGCTTGGGCAGTTACAAACAATGTGATTCTTGAAATATCTCGGTGCACATATACTCCTGTTCATCTAAGGTATATACACCAGAAGTAGAACTACTGTCTTTGTTGCTACAATGCTAAACTATTTTTGCAGTGTGCCAATTATATTGTCTTTAGCAATATATGACAATTCCTTTTGCTTTGATGCTGATTTTTCATTATTTCCAATATAACTTAATGTCAGTGTGGTTTTTATTTGCATGCCCTCTTGATTGTTAATTCAAGCAAGCTCATGTTAATTAGTCATCAGAATTTCTTTTAGAAGTCTGCTTCTTCATTACAATTGGTTGTCCCTTTTCTTTTCTTGTTTGAAGGATTTCTTAATATAGTTTCGAAATGAAGTCTTTATCAGCTACACATTGTATATATATTCTCTTTCTATGGCTTGCTCTTTACTTTTAGTGGCATATTTTAATCTGATTTATCTTTTTTGTTGTTGTTACTGCATTTTTTATGCTTAGAGGAGACATTCCTGTCTAATTAGAGGCTGTCATCCGAAAGCCAGGTTCTAACCCAGAGAAACTGGTGACACACTTTGATTCTTTGTGGCTTTGATGGAAGATTTCAGACAAGACACATAGGCCGTCCTATAGAGTACAGGGAGAGTTCACTGCAAAATAATACATTTCCAGAGAGGTTAAGGAGAATACACATTCAATCACAAAAAAAGGCAGGAAAGCACCAAGATGGCAACTGCACTGAATGAGGCCTCAGGTTACACTGCTATGAGGAACTGAGTTTTTCAAGGAATATCCCATTTTTCCTCCAATGTCACTGCTCTTTTACTAGGCAAATGGGCTATGTTGACTGACTAGGTCCTTGATTACTCTCCAGATGGGTGGTTTGTGTTTCATTTTAGACCTTTTATGTTTTTCCATTCCCTCAGCTATAGTCTGGACTTTGTGTGGACTATGGACTTTATCACTATGCTCAGAGATTACATTCTTCAACCTAAACATTGAAACCACAAGCTTGCATGGATTTTATCTATAGGGAATGAAAGAAACTGAAGGAAAGAGAAAAATAACTACCATGCCTTCTTTGCTTTTCAAGTGGCTGTCTCTAGTCCTGCTAACATCTAACTTTCTGCCTAACAAAATCATGGACTATTTCTTCATATTATCTTCCAAAAACATTGCTGTTTTTCCTTTTATATTTTGGCTCATATGGAATTGATTTTTGTCTATGGTTATTAAGTAGGATCCAATTTCTTTGTTTAACCACAAAGGTATTCAGTCCTCCCTTCTCTGCAGTGCTGCCTGTGTTGTGAATCACGTATCTATACATTGGTGGATGTGTTCATGAGCTCTCTCATTACACAGGCCTGACCTTCCCCCAATATCAAGGTCTTCATAACTATAATTTATCATAGTCTCTACACTTTACAATAAGGTTGTCTAACATCTAATTCTAAAAATTATCCACCAAAATACTGTTGGTTTATGATTCTGGTTGTGATTGTGTGCAATTTATAGATCAATTTAGGGAAAACTGATAAGTTTATAATATCATGACATAAACTGAATGTTATCAACAACATTTGTAGTATATAGTCATACATCGGTACTTCACTGCTTTGAAATCTGTTAAGTTTGGTACAGTACTTGCGTGATTTCAACACAAAAATTATATCCTGTACTCTCCTTTGATACTGGACACACAGCTAGAACTTATCAGTGTCAATTGTACCTTTTCCAGCCCCATGGATGTGTCTGGTACTCATCATGCCTTTCAGAACCAATTAACAATGACTACCAAGCTGCCACTATATTTTGAAATCTGGTAGTATGATGCCTACAACTTTGTTCTTTTTACTTCTGATTAACTCCAGGTGGTTAGTCATCTTTTGTGGATCTATATGGATTTTAGAACTGTTTTTCATTTGTGGTACTGGGAATTGAAGCCAGGATCTTGGGCATGCTAAGTAAGAGCTCTACCACTGAGCCTTTGCCAGTCCTTTTCTTTTTTTGAGCCAGAGTCTTGTTAATTGCCCAGGCTGGCTTTGAACTTGTGTTTCTCCTGCCTCAACCTTCCAAGTATTGAATTAATAACATGCATTTCCATGGAGAGTATCATTTATATTGTAATAGGGATTGTATTGATCTATAGATAGCTTTGGGTAGTGAAAACATTTTAACACTATTTTTTTCAATTCATGAACAAAGGATATCTTTCCAATCCTTTGAGTTTTCCTCAGTTTTTCCACCAGTGTTTTACAGTTCTCTTTTGTAGAAATCTCTCACTTGTTGGGTTAAATTTTTTCCCCAGCACTCAGGAAGTTAAAGCAAGAAGATTGTCATGAGTTCAAGGTCAACCTGAACCACACAGAGAGACCCTGTATCAAAAAACTAAAAATACATACATGAATACATTTTTCTTAGATATTTTTGGTAGCTATTTTATTTTTGTTTGGTTGGTTTTGGTTTGTTTTTTTGTTTTTTGTTTTTGTTTGGTACTGGGGAACAAAGTTGGGTTCTTACGCTTGGGAGAAAGGTGGTGGAACCCTGGCCCAGTAGCTATTTTAAATTGGATTGTTTCCTTGATATTTTCAGGTGGTTAAGTATTAGCATAGAGAAATGCTACTGACTTTTTTCACGTTTATTTCATATTCTGCAACTTTATTGAATCTGTGCATTCTGACAGGTTTTTTGTAAATTTTCTCTGTATGAGCTAATATATCTAAAAACAATATAACTTCCTCTTTCCCACATTAGATGCCTTTTACTTATTTCATTGTGATTTTAAAAATCATATTTAGACAACTAGTACACTTTTTTATACTAGCTATGCCTCTATAAGATATGATGCCCTGTATATCCCAGAGAGGCTAGACAACTTTGCTCTTTGCTCCTATTTGTGGGTGTATTTTTGTGGGGGATTTTGGAGAATATGCAGACAAAATATTCCTTGCTTGTTAAAATAAATAAATAAATAAATAAATAAATAAATAAATAAATAAATAAAATAAAAATCATGTTTAGAATGGTAATGTCTTGGGCCAAGGATTTAGCTCAGTGGTGCCATGCCTGCCTTGCAAGCGCAAGGTCCTGAGTTTGATCTCTGGTACCCCTCCACCAAAAGAACAGTAATGTCTTCTTGGTTAATCAATCCTATGTCATTATGTAATTCTCGTTCATCCTATTTTTCTTACAGTGCACTTTGTCTGACATCACTGTTTGTATGACATCTTTTTACCTTTTTTTTTTTTTTTTTTTTTTTTTTTTTTTTTTTTTTTTTTTTTTT